TTTTATACTTATTCTGCTTCCCCTCCTGGGCCAGTTGGATGCTGCAGAAGGCCTTTTCCAGCACCCCTGCCGTCGTGGTGGAGGACGACCTCCATGGGGCTCGGCCGCCCGCCACCGAGCAGAATTGCCTGCCGTCCAGCTGTGGGGGCAGCGCGGGAAGGACCGCGGGAGCACATCTGTCTCCAGAGACTGCTGTTTGGGTAGCGGCCAGCAGGGGGCGGCAAACCCTGAAGGAGAGGAAGCTGGACCTCACCAATCGGGGAAGGGCAGAGGCTAAAGAAACGAAGCTTCCTATTGGCCGGGAAAAGTGAAAGGGGACTTTTCCCATTGGCTGGGGGAAGTTGCAGGCTGCTATGGGAGGGGGGGTCCAGACAGTCACCTGGAGCTGGGGGGTCTGGAAGAGGTGAAGACCCCGGGCAGGCGTTGCAAAAGTTTGCACGCCTCCGCAGATGCAGCTTTGCAAAACGTCGAACTGCGGCCCCTGCGAGCACGAAAGCGCAGGGCCTCTCATGCAGCCCCACCTGGGGGTGACGGCCCCCCCAAGCCTTTCCCCTTGGAAAATGTGGCGATCTCGCAGCCCCCTCACTCCCCCTGCCGACATCTTACCGCCACTCATTTACTTTTAGGAAACTTGGAGGGGGCAAAATAGCCAGCCCGGTCCTCTCTGGCACCGTTGCTTTCCGCCACAGCTCGCCACCTTCCCTGCTCCCCGAATCATTTAACAAACGGCCCCTGGCGACCAGAAGTTGGCACGCTCCCGTTTTACCGCACAGCATCGAAATAAAAATACAGCGATACAGGGTTTCCTGTGGTCTTCCCTAGCAGCCCCTTCGCCAGGGGGCTGTTGGTCGCGCATGGGGGATAACGGGCACCGGGCCTCCCCGCGCGGGTGCTGACGTTTGCCCGGCCAGCGTCATCCCGATGCCCGGCTGCCCGGACTTCCTCTTTGTGGACTTCAAACACCCTTCCCTTCCGAAATGGGTTTTTCCAAGGGGTGGTTGACGTTCGAAGCTGCCCTTTTAGGGGGTGCCCTGATTGCTGTAATGCTTCGTGCTTCTCGCGCAGCCAAGATTTACGTTGTATTTCTGCAGAGACAAAATGGTTGTGGCTTTTGTGAGAAAAACATCAGTAACCAATAGCTTACAGCAGTGTTTGTCAACCTTGGCCGCTTGAAGACGTGTGGACTTCAACTC